TGTCCCCCCAGCCCTGCCCCAGCCCTCGCCTGCCTTTGCCTCTGTGCTCATTCGTGTCACAATATTGACTTGCAAACACGGAGCTTTTGGGCCAGTTGCTATGGTTACCCCTCAGAATGGAGACTCCAGTCCCCGGCAATACATTCTCAGCCTTAATGAAATGCACAGCAGTGTGTTCAACTTGTAAACCCGACGTGGGTATCGCTAAGCAACATCCATCCGTGATTTGCCATAATTACTGCTGCCAGCTCTGCACCATTGAAATGCTGGAGCACAAGGCTTCCTCCTCCACTGCATCAAATGTTTTTCTGCAGTAGCTTCAGTCTCTCAGAGCTGTGATGTTTCCTAGTCCCTTCACAGATTCAATGAACTAAGTTTGACCTTTTGAAATTATTCACACCTTCAGACCCCCTCTCTCCTATCTCATTTTGTGTTTATCTACTGTTTCCTGCTCATTCAGTCCCAGAAATTCATCTTAAAGACCTTTGATTCTTTTGCCCTAGATTCAAAATGTGAATCCAGCTCATTTCCTATGAGCTGCTTCTTCTTGTGTATTTAAAAAGATGCAATTCCTCCAACCAGTGTTGAATTAAAATGTGTGTGTGGAGCTGTTTACTCCAGGATCTGCTCCAGGAGGAGCTGATGCCTCAAATCTTTAAGAATCCCAGACTGGTTTGAGTTGGAAGGGACCTTAAAACCCATCCTGTTCCAACCCTGTGCTGTGGGCAGGGACACCTCACAGTAGACCATCTTCCAGTAGGTGGAAGTTTTCAGCTTAGAGCTTTTATTTGGTGTCTATCCTGAGCAAGGTGTTTTATCCATGAATTTGAGAAGTAGAATAAAACCAGACCCTGTTTAGAAGTCCACACTCCAGCCTTCAAGTCAAATCATTAATTGCAGTTTCAGTTCTTGAATTCCTTGCCTTGTGCAGGCACTTGGGGTGCTCGGGACTGTCTCTCCCCGATTCTCTGCTGCTCAGTCTGATTCCTTGTTCTGTGAATATTTTCCATGTACAGCCCCAGAGCTGCCAATCCTGGAGAGGAAGAACTGGTTGATTTATCTGCTCTACGTCCGCAGAGACTACGAGGAGTGTAAGGTAAGAGCTGCCTCCAGAATGTGGGAATTATTTCACTGATGTAAGGAAAAAACAGTTTTCTTGACAGTTTCCCAACCACCCTCTGTCCTGACTTCTTGTGGAATAAGGGGACCAAGAGAACACATGAGTAAAATGACTTCAGTGCTCTCCAATCCTTGGCTGCCTTCAGGATCTGAGGGTGCAGCTCTCTGGAGCAGTCTGGGAGCTCAGGATGTCACTGGGAGGGGAAAAGTGGAAAGAACTGCAGACTTCTGTTGTTCCAAGTGATGGATAGGGTTTTCCAAACTGATAATAACACAGTTCCACATGCAGGTTTCTTGATGGTACACTATGAAAACACTTCAGTTGAGGGAAACATTACTACCAAGTGTAAATAAAAAACATCCTGGTTACTCTTGAGCAAAATTCTTTCATTTTATACATGATCCATGGCTTGCTCTAATTCATCTTGGGCTTGGTGAGCAGTTTAGAACTGGTGGTCTGGAATTATAATGGTAAGTGGACAAAGGAAATGGCAATTTTTATTTAACAGTGTGTTTTTCTGATAAAATGAGCACAAGAAGATGATGCACCCATGGGCAGGAGGAGGGGACAAGAGTTGCCACTCTGATTCTGGCATGTGCAGCAAACATCTGAAAAGTCTTTTTGGCTTCTGAAACACCAGTTTGGTCAGGACTTGCCTCTGCTGGAGAAGCCTTGGAGGTGCTTAGGAAATGGGCAGGCTGGAGGAATTTCATTTAGCTCTTAATTAACAGAGCCAGGGAGTTGTATCATTACAGTAATTTCCTCTCAGATCTTGGTTTGATAGATAGAAACACTGGCTGGACTAGCCCTCAAAACAGAAAATTGTTTCCCCTTTTTTGTGGTCTGACTGGAGTTTCTTGGTGTGATTCTGTGTGTTGATTGTTTCTGTGATGGGATGTGAAATCACAGAGTACAGAAAAGAAAAATATGTGCAGCTCAGGAAAGCAGAGAAAATAACAAATGGATGATATAAAGGCAACACTGATGTCTCCATGTCTTCATCAGTCATGGAGGCAAGGAAATAGCAGGGGAAAATCGAGAGAAGACAGCTAATAAATACTCCTCTGCTTGGCAGGCCAGCTTTCCTTTCCTCAGAGCTCACAAAGAAGTGATTTTCCAGTAAAACTGGAAGATTCCAGGATGGCTTGGGTGTTGTTAAAATCCATCAGTTTAGTCTCAGTAAGAAACAAATGACCTGTTTTGTTAATTAATTTTGCTCTTTCCCGCTCAGTGCTTTGAAATGCTCCCTCTCTAACAGAATTTAAAATCTCCCATAATTTTCAATGAACTAAAAGGCCATTAAAAACTGTTTATTTACTGACATCAACTCCCCAAAGTGGAGGCATTAAAGTGGTTTTGACCCTTTCAGTGCTGCTTGAGCAAAGTGCCAGGCAGACATCCCTGAGAGTCTGCAGCTGCAGCATCCCCTGGGATGACACAGAGACTGCTTGGTCTGCTGCCAGTTGTGTCTAAATTCTGTCATCAGCACCTTAAATAAACTTGGGGGAAGAAATCTGGGATTTGAGATCATATTCCTCAGCTGAGGGCCTTTTGCTGTGGGACTTTTTAGGGTTTATAGAATTAATCAGATTTTTCTAAAAGATAGCTCTCTATTGCCCTCTCTTGCTCTGAGAATCCAGGTTTATGTAGATGGAACAATCCAGAGCATGTGAATTGAGGAGATGTTGGTTATTTCTGAGTACAGTGGTTTATAATCATGCACTTTGTAAAGAGTTACATAGATAAATTAGCACGTACAGGTGAGAGAAGAGCAGCTCAGGCCTGTTCTTCCTTTTCCTTCAGTAAGAACTTTCCTTCTTCTCAATAGTAACTTCTCAATTAATATCTTCTCAAGAATCACTTTCTCAGTAATAGTTTTCCTCCCATGTGCTGTATTTGAGGTTCAGTTTTCAGGTCCTTCACTTCTGTTCCTCTCAGAGGCAGGGCATGCTGGTGCTGGCCATACACATCTGGAATGCCAGATAAGCACCAGGTCACTCAGAAATTACTCTTACCCCTGTGTTCCTCCACTTCTGCACAAAAGAGGAGTCTCAGAGCAGAATTATGCCCTTGATTCCTGTCCAGGGTGTTCATCCTCCCAAAGGATGTGACTGTGGAATATATCCAGGCTGCAGCCACCCTACCCCACACTGGGAGCTGTGTGGATAAAGCCAGCAAGAATTTACATTTTCATCAGGGTTTTTTTTCCCTGTTCACTCCTCATTTGTTGTTTTGGTTTTCATTCACTCAGCTGCAGTTGCTCCAGTTCAATTTATTTCTTCACAAAGGGCCTGGAGTAGATACCCTTACCAGCAGAGGATGCTTTCAGAGATGCCTCCTGGTGTTTTCCCCAGGTAGTTCCTAATTATCTTTGGGAATAGGAATGAACAGAGCAATACTGAAAGGGCCACAGTGTTCCTGGCACAGAGCTCTGCTGTGTGCACTGTGTGGTTGTCCCAGTCGTGGTCCAGTGCCCTTGTTAGAGGTGGGGTTGTGGTTTTTGTGGCTGGAACCAAATCTCTGGAATCAACTGTGTTAAATTGATGTGAGCTTACAATTTTGTCCTTCCAGGCTGTCATCAAAGAGCAGCTCCAGGAGTCCCAAGGGCTCTGTGAATATGCTGTCTATGTCCAAGGTATGTCTGGAAATCTTTTTACTAAAGCAGGTCACCCCTGATTTGAGATACAGAGAACAATGCAGGGGATAGGTGAGGGAAACAGAATTTCCCTCATCAATGAAATTTCCCCACCCTATGTTCCCATAGAACATAGGGAAAAAATACAATTTTTCCCCTCTGCTTGCTCCATTTAGTATTGAAATTTGGGATATTCACATTAAATGGGCAGATTAAATGTCCTGTTTTCTCTGTATTTGTCATCAGTTCTTCTTTGGGTTATGGTTCCCAAAGGTTCCTGGCCTTCAGTGTGTTGCTGTGTGTTTGATTCTGTTACAGATGCATGTTTTTCTGTTTGTTACCCACCCCAGGTGATCATTGTCTCACTCCTTACTCTAAGGATGGCATTCCTCTTCCTGCCCTGCCTCTGGCCCCTTAAAAATGTCTCCCAAAATGTGACATTGCAATTCCAAATGCCATGGTGGGGGACAGTGGAGATTTGCTGGCAGGGACATGCTGCAGCCTGGAGAGGCTGGGGAGGGGAGAAATCCAGGTTGCATCTGTACAAGCAATTCCCCATGATTTAAAGCTTAAAGCTTTTGTTCTGAGCCCTGAATTTCCCCATGCACAGAGTCCTGCCCTCAGACACAAAACTGGGTGCTGCAGGAGGGGCAAACACCAGAGGAGCACTGATGTGATAGATGTGTGCTCCCCCTTCTTTCCCTGCTGTCATTTTTCCTGCTGAGAATGGATTCATTTGCCTGCTCTATGTTGTTTTCCAGCTTTGATATTTCGCTTGGAGGGGAGAATTCAAGAATCTCTTGAACTTTTCCAGACATGTTCCATTCTGAACCCCCGAAGCGCTGACAACCTCAAGCAGGTGGCACGATCCCTGTGAGTGCTGTTTTATTTGTTGTTTCTCTTGGCTGTGCCACCCAGGACCTTCCATGCTTTGTTTTTCTCTTAGGCTGCTTAATTCCAGACATGTTTCCTCCTTATCAACACTTGGCTTGGCTTCCAGAAGCGTGGGTTGTTCTTTAAGCAGAATCTCTGTTATCTGCCTGGCTGCTCTTGTGTTTTCTCTTTCTTTGGGCTCCAGGCAGAAAGGTGATACTGATTTCAAGGTCCAGAGCTACAGGTGCTGTCCTGACCCTACAGATCCTTTTCTGTTGCTGAAGGTTGTGTTAGGCACCTGGCTCTTTCCTTGGAGACAAAAGCAGGCTGCAGAGCCTGGGCATTCATTCCTTACATCCCCACTCGTGTCAGCATGGATGACCTTGGTCCCCAGAGGGAGCAGTGCTGAGATTGTAAACCTCTCCCGCAGATCTCTGGAGATACAGCAAATAAGATAATTTCTTACTGGCAAAGGTGATAGTGGCTGCACAGCAGGGTGTGAAAACAGGAAAGACATAAGAATTGCAATCCTTTTGCAGGTTTCTCCTGGGGAAGCATAAGGCAGCCATTGAAGTGTACAATGAAGCAGCAAAACTCGATGAGAAGGACTGGGTGAGTGTTCAGGGGGTTGCAGATCTTTGTAGTAGCTGCAAACTTGTCCCAAACCATGCTGAGCTCACACTGCCTGTGCTCTGAGCATGGTTTGGATCACAGGAACCAAATCCCATGCCCTGGGGCAAATCCCTGGCTTGGGGCACAGAGAATTGAGCAGTGTGTTGGAACTTGGCCAAGGATCAATTTTAACATAACCACATCTGTGCTTTAAGGGAAATATGGGGAGAGCTTGGAAACCTCAGGTATTAAAACTTGCTTGAGTAATTGGGAAAGCTTTTGTAATGCAAAACATGGTTGAAAATACAGGAGCAGTGATTAAATGAGCTCTTCTGAATAAAAAGACAAAAAGAGAGGAAGAGCATTGCAAAGGGAAAGGTGTGACAGAGGGTGAGGGAGAGGCCATGCCTTGCAGCTTCTGCAGGTGCCTGTTTTGCCTGCAAAATGTTTCTAAAGTAGGCTTGCAATGTGTGAGCTCCTTCCTTTGTTTGTCACTACATCCAAAATTCAGGATACAAGGATAGCTTTGGTGTTATTCAAATTACCCTGTGCCAGACAACTCAGAAACCTTTTGTATCACAAGTCTTTCTTCCACCTGCATTTCCAGTGCTTGACATGCTTGTAACCCTATTTACAACCCAGCAGGCAGATGCCAGTGGGTATTTTGATTAGTTATTCCCCATCCCTGGCTCAGCACTGGAAACAGAATCAGACTCTGCTCTTCCCTCATTCTGCAATCTGCAGCAGCCTGGAGTCACTGATTCAGTTCTGCACAGCTGGAGAGGCTGCATGGAGGAAAACAGGTTGATGGGGAAGTAAGAGAGTTTCCAAAGGTCAAGGCTGTCTAAGCTGATGAATCAGTGAAATGCTCACCAGAATAAAATAAGAAATTGGGAGAACTTTGCTTTTCTCAAATTGAGAAGTGCCTTGTGTGTTAAACTGTGGGTGAGGAGTTAGGGACAGGGATGCTCCCTACAGACCAGAGTGTTCAGGATCCCTAAGGGATCTCCCTACCCTGTGCAAAATTGTTTAGGATGCCAGAGGGATATCAGATATTCCAGTGCTCAAGTTGTGTTTTGGAAAATGAGGCACATCTTTCAGTTTTGTCCAGCTGGGTTGGACACTGTGCATATCCTACTGAGGTACAGCCAAACTGAGTCACCCATGAGGGCAGCAAGTCTTACAGGGTGACACCACGATGAAGAAACCAGTCTGTGCTCCTTGTTTCTGAAAACAAAATGTCTGATTTCTCAGAAGAGCTTTGTCATTTCTGTGGATTTTGTCTCAGTGGACAGTAATGTTTTGTGTACAACCCCACTCAAGCTCTGTGGGTGCCTGAAGTAACTGGAATTTATAGGTTTACTTGTTCTGAAAAGCAAGAAGGGTATGGGCAGTCACAGGGCTCTCCTCTGGGTTAGAGTTGTCAGATTTTATTTCATTCCTTGTGCTGATTTGGCTTTTTTGCATGCAGGAGATCAGCCACAACCTGGGTGTGTGCTACATGTACCTGAAACACTTCAACAAGGTAAGGTCAGTGGGAAGCAAGGAAGCATCCCAGAAATTTCACTCTCTTTGATAGCTTGAAATGGATCATTTGCAGCAAGAGGCTTCAAGAAAGTTTTTTGCTTCAGTGTTTTGTTTTTGGGAGCAAAGGTTTGTGAGCTGTCTCTGTTCCCATTTGTGTGTTGAATTTCTTTGAGTCAGCTGCAAGTCATTGAGGTTGTGTAAAGGGAGATCACCCTGTGGCAGGGCCAGAGGCTTTTTCTGAAATCTAAGATTTTTTAGGAACATTTTTGGTTTTAAAGGGAATGTTTGAGAAACCTCAAACTAGACAGAAAATGGGCTGTGCTCCAATAAGAGCTGCTTCTGTGTCTGAGTCCTTTAAAGGCAGACCCAGGGACACTGCTGGCTTTGTAGGAGCAGCAATCCAGCTCCATCCTCTTGAAGCAAGAGAAGGGTGCTGATAAAACCCCAAACCATTTCCCCAGCCCAGACTGCTGCACCTCATTTTCCTGCAGGAAACCTCAGCTCCCTGGGTCTGGCAGGACTCAGAGGGAAGGAGTTACAGGGTTGTTTGCTGGAGGTGCAGCAGCTCCTTTTTTCCTCCATGGGAAGGTTTTGCTCCTGTGTCTGAAGCTCCTTTTGAACTATACCTGCAGTTAGTACAGGAGTTTTGGAGGTTGAAATGCAGTTTTATTCCCAGGTCTGAGCGTGCCATTCCCAGTTCCTCACTTAACCATTCCCAGTTCCTCACTTAACCATCCCCTGAGTGCTGGTGGTGAGCACTGAGCTGTCTCTGATCCAGCTGCTCTAAGGGAAAAACAGCATTTAGACCCTTTTTGTTCCCAGTTTGGCCCAGCCCCTCCCTGCTGCTCTTGCTGGTGGGTGCTGTGTTCCTTGCAGCAAAGCCCAGCTGTGCTCCCTGTTTGAGGCATCCCTGTGCAAAAGCAGCCTCTGCAGTGTGGGTTCACACTTGGGATTTGTTGTCTGCACTAACACCTTCCAAACTGGGACCTGCTCACACCTCCCCTGAGATTTTCACTTCCCCACTGCTGGAATAAGCATTTTAAGGAAGAACAAACTGCAAAGTATCAGTTCAGCCAGCAAATCCAGAGCGTCCCTCAAGCCAAACAAACTCAAATCCAGGAGCAGGCCTGTGCTCATCTCCTCCTTGGGAGGCAAATGCCTCTTGCTTGGCTTGAAGGTGATGCCTTTTACTGCCCCTAAAAGCAGGTGGCTGCTGGTGCAGAGCTTGTTCCAAGGATTAGCTGGGCTGGGGTTTGTGTTCTCCAGGTGCAGGGGATGTTTGCTGGCTGTTCTCCTTCCCTGGCTGTTGGGGATTACTCATGGCTGTTGCTTTGCTGAGGGCTCTGGAATCATTTATTATTTCTTTCTTCTCTGTGGTTTTGTTTTTAGGCACGAGACCAGCTCAACCATGCCCTGGAGCTCAACAGACACGACCTGACCTACATGATGCTGGGCAAAATTCACCTCTTGGAGGGGGAGATGGATAAAGCCATTGAAGTATATAAGAAAGCTGTAGAGTAAGAAATATCCCTTTTTTTCCATCTGCCCATTCCCATCCTATGCCAGGAGAAAATTGATTGGTGTCCCAGATCTGAATTGAGGCCATGATTAAAAAGCTAATGGTAATTACAGGGGCTCTGAGCAAAGCTGGCACTTCCAAGCACTTCAGCTGTCTCTGCTCCTGCTGACAGTGTGGCAGGGAACAAGGGAGCTGTTGGAAGGGCTGCCAGAAAAAATTGGAATAACAAATGCATGGAGATGCCTGGGAGCAAAGTGATCCAAAACTGACTTCATCCATGCCAAAGGTTTATCTCCCAAAACAATGTAACCCTGGCTGTCCCCCCAAAATCCCTGCCTGGGGTCACTTGCTGCTTCCCCTCAGAGCAGTTTGTGGCTGAGGGAGATGTGCTGGGCACAGGGAGCTTCTCCCACCCCATCACTGCTCCTCAGTGCCCACCTATCCCTGTTTCAGGGCATTCCCAAGCCTTGCCAGTGCTTTCAAATGCAGCTTTGCCCTGGAGGCCAGCACTAGAAGGAAAATCAGGAGTGTGTTGGGAGGCAGGGGGTATTGATGCAGTGTTTCCTTACATGTGTGCCCTCACTGCTGCCTGAGGGTGGGTGGGGCTGGGCAGGCTTTTGGACTCATCTAGAATGTTCATTACGTAAATAATCCTTGCTAAGCATCTTACCAGGTTTATATTCTTATCCTGGTGCTCCCCTGCCCTCCTTTCTTCTTCATTCCTGTTTATTCCTGGGTTTTTTTTGTTCTCATCTGCCTATGACATTTTTCTTGCTGTTTCCAGCTCCAGGACAGTCTGTTATTCCTTGTCTGTATTCCACCAGGTGGTTTTGTTGTGGTTGAAGTTTAGAGGTGCCAGTGTGAATGTGCACATCAGATTTTTTTTAAGTCTTGCTAGCAGGGAATTAAAAACTGACTCCTTTTGGGGTGAGTGAGACCACAAATTGTGTCTCTTTCTCAGCTTTGTCCTTTTTTGTTGTGGTTTCCATCCTATTTATTTGTAATCTTTTTATAAGGTGAATTAAAATTCTGATGAGGGGTGTGTAGAATCCATCAGGAATGCTGAGGATTGCCTGCCCTACATGGCCCAAGAGGCTTAGGATGGATGGATTTACAGAGTGGTTTATGAGAGACAATGGAAAATCTCATTTTGTATTTCCAGGTCACTGATTCAGACTCACTTTGAAGCTTAACAAAACCACATTATCTTATTATGTGTCCAGATGTATTTCACAGAGCCTTGTGCCTTCCCACCAATCCCCAGAAGATCCTTGGGTAGCTGAGGTGTGATGTTATTCAAAGGAAGTCCCCTGATGGCAGTTCTAATATTTGTTTTTAGTAATTACAGTTTAATTTCCTGGATTGATACAACAATAATGTAGCATCAGAATTCCATGTTCTATTTTTACCCTGTTCTGGAAGGGCTGAAAAACAAACTCAGGCTTTTATGTTCCAGGTTTTCTCCAGAAAACACAGACCTGCTCACAGCCCTGGGCCTACTGTACCTGCAGGTAATAAATGGTTTTACTGTTACAAAAACTTAATTATTTTCAGTATAACCCTGTTGGATTTTTTTATAGAGTTAATTTCTATCCACCTTCCCATTGCTTGCACATGCTTCTCTCCAGACTGAATTTAACAGGACAGAACTTGCTTTTCTGTGTCTTGTCTTTGCTGCTAAAAGCAAGCTGATTCCCTGGAGCAGAGCCAGAGCAGGAATTCTGTTTGGCAGCAGCCCTAACTCTGTTATAAATCCTCCAAGTATAACAAAACATGACTAGTCATTACCTTGCTTCTGCAGCAGGAGTTATCCTGAAAAAGCAGCCATGAAATTGTGAGTGTTAATGCACCATAAAGGAAAATCAGAATCAATTTAAATAACAAAGGTGTGCTTATCCTTGTGTCTGTGCAATGGATGGGAAGGGCTGGATTATTCCAGAAGCTGCTTCCCAAAGAGTGAACAAGCAAAGAAGAATAGGCAGTAGTGCCTGAAGGGAGGAGGAGGCCCCCAAGCTGCTCTCAGGGTGCTCTGGAGCCAGGCTGGGAGAGCTGGGGGTGCTCACCTGGACAAGAGAAGGCTCCAGGGAAACCTCAGAGCCCCTGCAGGGCCTGAAGGGGCTCCAGGAGAGCTGGAGAGGGACTGGGGACAAGGGATGGAGGGACAGCACACAGGGAATGGCTCCCACTGCCAGAGGGCAGGGATGGATGGGATGTTGGGAAGGAATTCCTCCTTGTGAGGGTGGGCAGGCCCTGGCACAGGGTGCCCAGAGCAGCTGTGGCTGCCCCTGCATCCCTGGCAGTGCCCAAGGTGAGGTTGGACAGGGCTTGGAGCAGCCTGGGACAGTGGAAGGTGACCCTGCCATGGCAGGGAATGAGATGAGCTTTAGGTGAATTCAGTTGAAACCACAGAATCACAGGATGGCTTGGAAAAGACCTTAGAGCTTATCTAGTTCCAGTCTATAGGATTGAAGTGTTTCCAAGCTCTCACATGCTCATATATGGCCACAGTGATGTCCTGTAACACCTTCAGGCCATGAGAAGGGAAGGGAAGTGCCCTGAGCAGGAGAGCCCTGGGCAGTGAGGAGTTTGTGGTGAGGGACTTGGGGATGTGCAGAGTACAGTTTGTAGCCAGTTTTCTGGGACAGAGAAAGCAGCAGAGACCTGTGAAGCCAGAGCTCATTTGTGGTTGGGTCAGAACAGTGAATCCAGCCAAGTGAAATTCTTAGAACCTGTTCTGTGAATTATCAAACAGGAACATGTGTGTGTAATGGGAGCACTGTACAACTCACTTTTCTGACTGAACCAGAAATCCTGGTGCCCACAAACTCTGTATTCTCCTTTATAACTCCCCTTATTCCTGAATTTCTGATGCTTATGTACTTCTTTTCCCAGGCTGGGGAGTACCAGAAGGCTTTTGAACACCTTGGGAACGTGCTTACCTATGACCCAGGCAACTACAAGGTATGGTGAGGGTTGGAAATGACCCAGCTGAGCCATGAGGGGACACCTCCTAAAGCCAATTCCACATTCAGGGCTCTGCCATCTGCATCTGGGGCCTGGAGAGGCTGGAAAGGATCCTGCCCAGAGAGGTTTTTGTGAAATCCATTTCTGGGATGTTTCCCTGGGTAGGGAGTTGGGAGTGTGTGGAGGTAGGGAAAGGGAATGAGGCAGAATATGGAATATTAAATTTGGTTTTCAATCTGAAGTTGCACCAAAGCCAGGTGGAATTTACTTTGGAAGGAAGATCTTCTGGATTTTAAAAATCCCTGAAGAGCTGTGCCAGGTCCCTTGTGATACTGCATTTTATTATTCTCCCATCTGCTGATAGGCTGTGATTCCAGCTGCTCTGTGTATTTCCTTGGCTCTGGCCTGGAGAGCTGAGCTTGGTGTCTGGATTCCATTCCTCATTGTGGAACTGTTTCCTTTTTTAGGGCTGTTATTTAATTTCTCTCCTTTTTTTTTTTCCCTGTTGGCGATGCAGAGCATTGAAATGTGTGGTTGACAAACATGAGTTGTTGTTAAAACACCTTTACACTTAGGAATTTTACTTGTCACTGTGAAATCTTAAAAAGGACTTAACTAGTGTGGTTTAAATATAGTGTGTTGTACTCACTTCCTTTTTTTTTCCCCATGCATATTCCCATTAATTTGCAGTATCAGCCAGTCACTGTGAACTAGGAGAGCTTTGCTGCATGTCTTGCTTGAGTACATTTTACTCCCCACTTAACTTGCACCAGAACTATTTCTATCTGTGCTTGGTTGTAAAAGGAATCTATTAGTGCACAGATCTTTTCAGAGCCTCAGACTCCAAGGACTACTTCTGTCAGCCCAAAAAATACCCTAAACACTTGTAGTGTCATGTTGCAGTACTGATGGAATCACAGACTCACAGAATGCTTTGATTTGGAAGGGACCTTAAAGCCCATCCTGTTCCACCCCTGCCATGGGCAGGGACACCTCCCACTGTCCCAGGGTGCTCCATCAGCATGGCCTGGACACTTCAGGGATGGCAGACTCATTTCTGAGACAGTTATGATTCAAACAGTGCAGGGAGAAGCAGCCTCAGGTTTGTTCCTCACCCTGTGTTCTTCCCTTTGGTGGGAGATTCCAGAATCCCCATCTGCTCCCACTGTGGATCTTGGCAGTCCTTAGAAGTGAAATGGTTGTTGCTGGGATGGTTTTAGTTTAATCATTTTGTCCTCTCGTGTTCTTGCCGTGCCTGAGCAGATGGGGCTGTGATGGGTCACTGTTTGTTGTCCCCAGGCCACCCTGGCTGCTGGCAGCATGATGCAGGCCCACGGGGATTTCGATGTCGCCCTCTCCAAGTACAAGGTGGTGGCCAGCACTGTTCCTGAGAGCCCCCCACTCTGGAACAACATTGGCATGTGCTTCTTTGGCAAGAAGAAATACGTGGCAGTAAGTATCCAGTTTCCATTTTTACTCCCATCTGCATCCAGTTTCATGCAAGCACAAGATTCCTGTCATGTGGTGTGGGCACCCAGGACATTGCTCTGGCTGCCCTGAGTGATCCCAGACCCTGGCAGGGGCTCAGAGACCTTGGCACAGAGTCAAACACACCTGTGCCTTGGATTTTAGCCCATGGAAACAATGACCAACTTTGGGTGAGATTTACAAGCCACAGGAGTTTGAGTAGAATGATAGTGAATTTGTCACAGGGTGAAGAAGTAGAATTTTGGGGTTTTAGAATGGGGGTTCAAGAAGCAAGATGGAGGAATCTGGGTGTGTCTTGTCCTTCTTCTCCTTCTTCTTGTCCTCCATCTTCTGCTGTGATGGTGAAGCTTTGGGATTGGTTTAGAGTGGAGACAGAGTGTCTGACATAGGTGATAGGTATTGGAAAATTATCCTATTGTAAATAAAGTACAGGTGGTTCTTAGTATAAAAAGTTAACACCACCCCAAGGACAGGCACTGTGCCACAACCCAACCTGCTGGACAGATCTCAGCAGATTCTTTCTTCCTCAGAGAAAGAATGTAACAGATAAGAGAAAATAAACAACCCTGAAAAGCAGAACAGACAAATCTTGACTTCTTCGATCACAGGGCTGGGAAAAAAAGACTTCCTAATACCTTGGGGTCATCTCAACCACAGAAACCTGAGCATGTGGGGGCTGTTCTAACACATTTATCCCTTTTTTCCCAAGGCTGTCAGCTGCCTGAAGAGGGCAAACTACCTGGCTCCCTTTGACTGGAAGATCCTGTACAACCTGGGCTTGGTGCACCTCACAATGCAGCAGTATGCCTCAGCCTTCCACTTCCTCACTGCTGCCATCAACTTCCAGCCCAAGATGGCAGAGCTCTACATGCTCCTGGCAGGTATGGGATGCTCCCTGTGCATCCCTCATGGGAACACCACAGCACAGACAGGAGCTGTGGGGTGAGGTAAAGAAACATGCCATAAAGGTTTTACTGAGGAGCTGATGCCCAGTCTCTTCTCTCTGGGGAAATAGAAGGGAAAACTGCAGTCAGATCCAGATTAAACATTGGAAAAGACTTGACACATGTGAGACTGGGGTTGGGTTGCCTAAGGAGTGGGTGTGGGTTTCCAGCACTGGATATTCTTGGGATGAAATGAGATAAACATGTCAGAAGTGACAGTGTGTGGTTAGATGGGATATTGGGAAGAAATCCTTCCCTGGCACAGGGTGCCCAGAGCATCTGGGGCTGCCCCTGGGTCCCTGGAGGTGTCCAAGGCCAGGACTTGAAACAGCCTGGGATGGTGAGAGGTGTCCCTGTCCACAGCAGGGTTGAGACTGGATGAGCTTTAAGGTCCCTTCCAGCCCAGGCCATCCCATCCAGTAGGGCTAATCCTGGCAGCAGACCTGACAACCCTGCTGTGACACCTATTTTATGACATTCACAATTGTCCTGAAAATCAGCTGCTTGTGAAACATCTCCTCCTGTGTGTATGTTTTGCTTTGGTGCAGTTGCTCTGACCAACCTTGAAGACATTGAGAATGCCAAATGTTCCTATGAGCAAGCTGTGGCCTTGGACAAGTAAGTTTTTGTCAGAGCTGTCACTGGTTTGGGTTTCCTTTGCCTCCCTGCACTCATTTCCTTTGCCTCTCACTCTATCTCAACCCTAAATGGTTTGTAGTTGGGAAATACCTTTATTCTTGTTGCTGTGACAGTGTTAAAACTTTTTTTTTTCTTTTTAATTTAAGTCAGCTGTGAAAAATGAGAGAGGATTTAATTTCAGAGCAACCCAGAGCTGTTTTTTGTTTTGCTGTTTGGGTAGTGAATCAGTGGTGGTGACTTTGGATGCCAGTCCTCCTTTTGGTGAATATTTACACACAGTAGAGCAGATTGAATAGAAGAAAACATACTTTTTAACCCAAAGTTTGAGCACAGTGCAGAGCAGTGAGATGTCTGGGGTAAAGCCTGTTCTGAATTGGGCAGAGGGAAGATTTTAGCTGGGAAAATGTGCAAGAAGTTTGTATAAAGCAAGTTAAAGGGCAGCTCCTTCATTAAGAACATCTGTGTTTGCAGTCTAAGTCTTAAAATCAGAGCACTTGATTTCAGAAATGTTAAGCTGAACATGAGAGTATGTCATCATTTCAGGCACAAAACCAAAATTACCTCATATTTATTAATAGTTTTGTTTCTCTCCCCAGTTTACTGTGAATATTTGCACACTTAGACCTAGCAGCACTCCAGAGTCTGTCTGCAGGGGCCACACAAGGTGGTGGGAGATGGGACACCAGGGATGAATTCCTGGCTGGGAGGGTGGGCAGGCCCTGGCACAGGGTGCCCAGACCAGCTGTGGGTGCCCCTGGATCCCTGGCAGTGCCCAAGGCCAGGCTGGACAGGCTTGGAGCACCCTGTGACAGTGGGAGCTGTCCCTGCCCATGGCACAGGGTGGCACTGGATGGGATTTAAGGTCCTTTCCCACCCAAACCATTCCATGATTCTGTTCCTAATCATCTTTCCATGCATAGCAAGGCAGGACAGGACCTTAAAGGCAGCTCAGACTCCTTAGTCAGGGCCTTGTGAGCAGTAAATGGGCTCTGCAGCTTTGCCCAGCTATTTGGCACGTGGGCAATGCTCCAGCTCTGTGGTCTGAGGAGGAAAATAAACCCTCATCAAAGCAAAAATGAATTCCCACTGCCAGGGCCTGCTGGGGGGAACATCCAGCCTGTGAGGCTGGTTCAGCTGACATGCCATGGATTTTAGCCAGTTACAGTGTGGCTGAACCTGTGTCCCCACAAGTTTCCCTTGCTGGTGTGTTCTGAGCTGATGGGGATGAAGGTGGTTGGTTTCCATCACCAGGAATGCTTCTGTAGTGGCCTAGGTGCCATGCTGGGGGCTGGAATGGAAATAACTTGGAAAACTCATCAGAAGAATGTGTTCCACTCCTGGTTGTGGCTTGTAACTGTTCTTTCTGTGGGTATTCAGCTATTGAATTTTCTCTGACTGTCATATTGCTTCTCAGCTCTTGAAGGTGGTGAAATAGCTCCATCAGGTTCAATTAATTTTAAAACTGCCTGTTCTCAGGACTGTCTGATCTCCTCAGTGTTTTGGCAGAGACAGGCAGGAGGGCTTATTCTGTGGTGGGCTCAGCAGTCCAGTTTCCTGGTTAAAGGAGAAGCCATGGTTGTAAATGCAGTGAGGTTTCTGCCTTGCACTGGGATGGAGAATCACCAGGACTGGAGAGGCAGGGCCTGCAGGTTACACTTCATTTATTGCCCAGGGCCAGCAGGATCCTTCCTTTCTGCATTGCTCCAGAATGGGGACCAAAAAGTGAAACAGCAAACATGCATTCACAAAACTCACTGCCAATCCTGGTGGTATTTCAAAGTGCAAATATACCAGACAATGGCCACTGATTGACAACAGCTTTTAATGAACAGACATCCTGTCTGGTCAAGCAGGAGCTCTAGTGAATACAACACCATTAATCCATTAACACCAGCAAAAATTAAAGGCAAAATAGAATTAAAATATATTTAAACCAAGGATATTCTTTATAAAACTTTTGCTGTATATGATTTATTTATTTATTTTTGCTTCTGCCTTGGCCACGGATGGTTCCAGTTATCCCAGCCATGCTCCAGGAGAGGGCACCAGTACCTCACTCACATTTCTTGTCAACCCAGGGAGCATCAGAGCATCCCTGCCTGGCCTGGGTGCAGGGATGCTCCTGTGGGGTCCTCACAGGGAGCTGTGAGCAGGCAGAGCTGCTCCACCCACCCTGGCTGGGTCCCCAGGGTGAGGTGAGGGATGAGGAATCTGACTCCGTGTTCTCAGAAGGCTGCTATGCTATTCTATTCTATTCTATTCTATTCTATTCTATTCTATTCTATTCTATTCTATTCTATTCTGCTATACTAAAACTATACTAAAGAAAGAGAGAGGATACATCAGAAAGTTTAACAAGAATGATAATGAAAACTCATGACTGACTCCTCAGAATCTGACACAGCTGATGGTGATTGGTCATTAAATTAAAACAATTCACATGAAACCAATCAAACACCCACCTGTAAACAATCTCCAGACCACATTCCAAAGCAGCAAAACAGGGAGAAGCAATCAGATAGTTATTGTTTTCATTCTTTTCTGAGGCTTCTCAGCTTCCCAGGAGAATAAATCCTGGTGAAGGGATTTTTCAGGAAACATGACAGTGACACCTGGCTCTCCTGGGCAGCCCAGAGGGAGAGGGTTGATGTATCCCAGTGAAGGAGATGGATTGTTTGGGAAATGAGAGTGTGTGAGCAGTTCTGCCTGGTGAAATCTTCATTCAGGAAGGGGGGCAGGAGTGTGCAGGTACCTGTGTTCACCTGGAGCAGTACCTGCAGCTGTGTGTGGTTTTGCTGGGGTAGGAGAGAGGGGAGGTGAGGAAATGAAATGTAAGCAGCACATTCTGTGCTGTGTCAGGTTCTAAAACCCAAGAGCAGGGCTCTGTTGCACTGCCTGTCCCATGATGAGCTGCTCTCCTGCAGACTGGGAGTGCTGGGAGACTCTGAAGTAAATCAGAGAAAGATCATCATAGTGAGGTATGAAAAAGCCCCATCACTGGTGGGGCTGGGAGACAGAGAGTGCCAGGATTGCCCCCAGAGCTGGCTCTTGCAGAGGGAGAGGCAGTGATGGGGGGTTTCTGTTGGCACTGACACCCAGGGCCTTTGCAGAGCCCAGCACTGGGTCTGTCATTGGGCACGAGGGTTCAGCCATGCTCCCATAGCACTTTGCCAGACAATGAGGAGTGTCCAGCTTTGCTCAGGCACACCTCAGCATTACTGCAGTATTGGAATATGAATCCCAATATAACCAGTTAGATGGTGCCTGGGCCAGTTCTGACCCTCGCTGCTGGGCCAAAGGCAGCACTGTGATGTTTTACCCCAGAGATACCTTGGCTGCTGGAGAGTGCAGCGGGGCACAAGACGCAAGTCCAGGCTTGTCAGGACTCCGTTTACCTCAGGAGAGAGCTTCTGGCAATGGTGAAGAGAAGGAAGGAGTGGATTCTGCTGGAGGGTTATATCCAGATGTTTATTCCATGGTTACAGAGGTCTGTGCCAGGGTAATTCCTCCAACAGAATGGAGGCCGCATGGTCTCATTAACCTTTTAAGCTCAGGGCAGGGGAAGGGGAGGGGACAGGTGAGCCACCAACCAGGTGAAGGGGCGGGGTCTCAAGGGACTGGGGACACCTATACGGGCCAATGTCCCCCAGGCCTGAGGGACCAATCACACGACGCCTTGCTGGAATGTTCAGCAAGGGGGCGAGGGGGAAGGGAGAAGGTAAAACAGAACATTGCAACACACCGCAACACTGCAGGCAGGATAAATGTTCCCTCAGGAAATGTGATGCATCCCATGTGTCTGCTGCAGGTGCAACCCCCTCATCAACCTGAACTACGCTGTGCTGCTCTACAACCAGGGCGACAAGGAGGGGGCCCTGAGGCAGTTCCAGGAGATGGAGAGGAAGGTCACCGTGGCCAGGGAGAGCAGCACACCTGACTTCGACCCTGAGGTTTGTGCCTGAGCTCAGGAGCACCCCAGGGCTGGCAGCAGATGAGGAGGAGGAGGTTTGACTTTGAGTCCAGTTATTAGGAGGAAATTGTGCTTGTGAGGTTTCCCAGGCAGAGCGAGCGCCTGCTGAGAGCTGCTCGCTTCCTTTCTGCTCTTTGAAGCCCAGTTCTTCAATCAATACACAGCAAGACAAGATTCCCTCTTAATTAAGGCACTGAATTAGTGGAGATGTTTCCCCCAAGCACCAAACTGTAGCCAGCTCTCCACAGATCTTTTCTTGTAGTTTTTTTTTTTTTTATGGAGTTGTTGAGTTTATTGTTCTCTGAAGTGTCCCTGCTTACAGTGCTCTTCTCTTTTTGTTTCTTGAGAAGATGGTGGAGATGGCCCAGAAGATGGGGGCTGCCCTGCAGGTTGGGGAGAGCCTGGTGTGGACCAAGCCTTCTAAAGAGTCCAAATCCAAGCAGAAAGCTGCTGGGTCAGGGAAATCCAGCTCTCAGCAGCCTTTGGGCTCCAACCAGGCCCTGGGTCAAGCCATGTCCTCTGCTGCAGGGTATGGGAAAACCATGCAGCTCCCCCCAGGTATGTCTGCTCTGCTGTTCTTTCAAGTTTAGATGTGGGAGGGAAGAAAATAAATCTGTCTTCCCTTTGGAAGAGTTACAGCACCTGTGTGGGAGGGGATTGAGTGCTCACACAGCAGTGAGGGCAATAATTGGTGATAACTTTCCCAGATTTCTGAGTTCAGGAAGATGCTCTGTGTAGTGTATTCCACTCTCCTGCTTGTGCAGGGATGTGGGAGGCTGGGAAAGTTTCCCTTCCTGTCTGAACCACAATGGGCAAGATTCCATTAGCATGAGGTTGTGATCTTGCTCTGGGAAGGAAGCAGTTTCAGCAGCCAGACCTCTTGCCTTTCTTTGCAAGAGCCCAGGAGCTGCCATGCACAGAGGCTGCTGCAGAGAAGGGAGAAGATGGATTTTTACAATTTTTACGATTTTCCAAAGTACTTTCATCCATTCTCTGACCACAATACCTGCAGCTGGATTGCTCCAAAGCTGCCCATCCTTGCAGGTGTTGCTGGATTCGGTGGGACTGAGGGTTCTCAGGAGGTGCTGTGAGCCTTTGGAGGCTCAGCCCATCACTGCCTGTGCTGGGGCTGGGTGGGAGCATCTCCTGAGCCATCCCAAGGCTGACCTCCTCTCACCCCTCAGCTTCCAAGCAGGAGTGCACTGGGGATGTTGCACATTGTGGTGATTTTCTGTCACTCTCAGTCTTATTGCCTGTGGGCTGAACCAGGAGAGTGGTTGTGTAATCCAGGCCTCTTTCTTTGGCATCCCCAAGGACCTGTCCCATTTCTCACACATGGAATAAACTTTCCATGCAGGGAAGACTTAGCCAGAAAATCCGAAAAATAAAACACACCAGGGGTTTAGGGTGTACCTGAAGGACTCCATTATCCAGATCAGAGAAGGGAGCTGGTTCATAACATCAGTTGGCACCCTAAATGTAAATGTAGAAACAATTTGTGTCCTGTTGTGATTTAATTCTGTAGGTAGCTGCTTTAGCTGCCTGGAAAGTCTCCCCATATTTGCTAAAGCTGTGAAGTGAAAACCACACTTTGCAGCTTGAGCATAAACCAGCTTCAGTGGAAATGGAAGTGGCACTTCCCTGTGAGGGTGGGCAGGCCCTGGCACAGGGTGCCCAGAGCAGCTGGGGCTGTTCCTGCATCCCTGGCAGTGCCCAAGGTGAGGTTGGACAGGGCTGGGAGCAATCTGGGATAGTGGGAGCTGTCCCTGCCCATGGCAGGGGATGGAATGGGATGATCTTGAAGGTCCTTCTCAGCCCAAACCATTCTGAGATTCATTATTCTAGAAAATGTTTTCCCTTCCAGGGCATGAGTTAATTCCTACATTTGTACTGAATTCTGACTGTACCTGAGCTTCCTTTCAGCAGGATTTCAGGCACTGTCAGGTCTGGGTAACTCAGTGTCAATAAACCACTGGTAGGGAGAAGGAATCTGAGGGTAAATAAAAGCTGTGATTGTTTTGCACCTCTGCTGCTGGGAGGGACATAAAGAGCAGACAGCACACACACAGGCACAGAGTAACTTGAACTGTGTTCTCTCCCCAGGTGCTGCAACACCAGCTCTGCCAAAGAAGCCTCCCTCCCTGCCTCTGGAGCCAGAACAGGAGCAGGACTCAGAAACGAGCCCTGAGGAGAGCCCAGCTCCCACAGGGGACGGGGAGCAGGGCAAGGAGAAGCACCAGAGCCAGGAGGCAGCAGAGTAGGGCAGCTCTGGGCAGCACAGGCAGTGCAGGAGCCTCTCCAGGGCTGCCTGGGGCTGGGGAAAGGGACCTGCCCCACCCTGCCCCACCCTGCCCCATTGTGGCTTCTCCCCACTGCCTGTCAGTCTGGATGGAGCTGTTTGCTATCAGTGATTTCAGCCTGTGGCTCTGCCCTGTTGCAGGGAGTCACTGCAGTGACCAGAGGTGTGTGTAGCTACTCTGAGTGCAGTCACAACTCACCACCCAGCTCTCCCCAGGCTGGCTGTGAGTCCTCCAGAAGGACCCTTAGCAAAGGCAGCAGTAGTGATTTAGGATCCTGGGGGGTGAGGAGAATCAAACCCCTCCAGTGGCTGAACTGGTGAGCAGCTTTGCATAAAGAACCAGTAAACTGAAGCTTCAGGGCTCTGTGTTTGCTGGTGAAGCTCCCCAGCTGTTTGACACTTTATTTCCTGCTGTTAGTTCTGCACTCTTGGACTGTGTCCCTCCCTGATGAGCAGCCCAGGAGAGGAAGGTTACTCATGGAAACATCCTGGAGGCAGCATGAGCAGGGCTCTGGGTACATCCCAGCCTTAGCTGGCCTTGGTGGTTTGTTGCTCTTATCCTTAATGCATCTTCAGAGCCCAGCCAGGAGCTGGAGTGCTCTCCTGGTCCCTGGAGAACACTGAAAGAGTGGGACCCCTCACTTTCCCCTGGGTTCTGCCAGCCCAAACTGACTGCTTATCTTAAATGTGGCTTTTGTTCCTCTCAGGTGTCCTTTCTGCTGGGTTTTGTGTCAGTTCAGCCCCAGGGCAGCACTTCTGTAAGGATTCCCTCCTGCCAGGAGTTAAACAGAACTTTTTTGCAGAGCATTGGCAATTTGAAACAAACCAGACAAGAAACAGTGTCAGTCAGGTACAGTGCAGAGATTTTTATTCACATTTAACTTCTTACACTGAAAGTCCCTGCAGCCTAACAGAGTGCCTGGGAAGAAGAGGTGAGGATTGAAGAACAGGGGTGGGCAGGGGCTCTGAATTTTTCACTTCAGCCCCAAAACTTGAATTCAAGGCAGATTTTTGTCCTTTGATGCTTTGATGGGATAAGTGTCACACAGGGAGCACATACTGCACTTGGAGGTACTGTGAAGGGATTTATTTTAAATATATATTTTGTGAAAAGCTTATGCAACAGTGAACCAATTCTTCTATGAAATGAAGCAGTACCACCTTCTTTCTTCCTGGGAGCTTCATGTCTAGGGGAGCATTTTAAAATATGTAATTCCAGTTGGATAATAAATAGACCTGCAATTGCTGTCCTGTCCCCTTTCCTCCCCTGGGCCTGGTGATGGTGGCATTTGCATGCAGTGAATTCCTGGGATCGTTCTGGAGAGCATTTCTGTGCTAATGGTAATGAGGCTGGACTGCCCTTTCAGCTGGAATTAGGCAAGGGACTCTTCAGCAGGACTGCACTGAGGCATTTAGGGGTTTTGGAAATCACACCTTATGTTCCAAAACCTGTTTCTGGCATCAGCCATAATTCTAATCCCCTCTTTTCTCCCCCTTAACTGGAAAGAATCATGAGCTTAATTTTGAGGGAAGCAGAAACCATCTGCTTTAGGACTTTTCTTCCCCTTTTTAGGGAAAGGTCTGTGATGAACAGGGTAAAGCAGAGCTCACAAGGTATTTTGCATCTTGGCTTCTGCACAGGAAACAAAAGTCATTCAGACATCAATGCCTGAGTGGCAAGACCTTTTTCCAGCCAAGAGTAATGATCTGTCTATCCAGCAACATGTGTTCAACCCAAAACATGTGGTGTTGAGGTCCCTGAGACAACTGGATGCTGATTTATGCTACAGGCAGGATTAGTGGCTACATGCTGTGCTCCTGTGCTTAGTTGTGGATGTGGGGGCCTTAAAGCTGTTGAGAATTTGGATTTCCCAGTTGGGGAGTGGGTTTCAGTTGGCAAAGCCTCTTCTGCAGAGACAGACTCAGTGCTGAACGAGGGAAAGCTTTGCTAAAATAATAAGCTCCACACAGAAATGCATTAAAAAAGAGCCCATGTTGTAACAAGTACTCCATCTGCCAAGACTTTTCTAGAAGAGAAAACCCAGTTTTGCTACAAGGAAAGCTTTACCACTCCCTCAAACCACACTGCTCCAAAAAATCTGTGTTTTTAATGGGAGACACAGGTGAGATTTGAACCCAGTTTTACCCAGTCTGCACCAAGGGGAAGCTTTCCTGAGAAATTCACAGGGGAGGTTTCCAGGGTTTTTATTCCATTGCCTCCCCTTGCATTTAAATGGGATAACTGCTGCCATCGTTTGTGTTCCTCAGCTGCTGGGAGCTCTGCTGGGCACAGGCTGATGCCAGGCTGTTGGAACAGAGCTCCTGGCACAGCAGGGAATGGCCATGTGCTGTTTGCAACCTGCACCTCTCCTTTCCTGAGGGAACATCCTCCACCAGAGTCTGCACCAGTGACTCCCTGAGAACCCTGCCTGCATCCAGCTGAGGTACCCGAGTGAAAGAAGAGAACTTCATCCAACATCTCCAAGGGGTAGAACCAGCATTCCTGGCTCTGAAATCCAAGTTTTATTGCCAAGGCTACTCAGACCCAGTATTTTCCTCTGCTTTTCTCCTGTTCTCCCCAACACTCTGAGTTCCTTAGCCCAGGAATAGCAAGGCAGCAATTGTGTGACACAGATCTGTACCAGCACTGCTCTGGAACAGATGGCACAGAGACAATACTGGCACAGAGACACTTGAGCTGTTCACTCACACAACCCTCAGCCTTCCCCTAAGCTGCAAGCTCCAAAAGAACTCCCAACCAACATTTTAGGATAACTGGAAACTGAGTTCTGTTGTACCATTTCACAGAACTGGCCCATTATTCAACTCTTTGCTCAGGACATGGCTGGAAAAGTCACCCTGTGGCACACAAACCCTGATAATTCAGTGTATCATTACAGAATAAATAGTGAAAAAAGAACCCAAGCACAACTGCTGACAGTTTTCCACTGGGTTTTGGAATGGATTTAGTGCTCTGCTGCTCTCCAGGCTTTGGATTCCAGTGGCTAATGAGTTGAGCTGAGCTCTAAAACATCCAGCACAAAGCAGTTCATGAGGTCTTTGCTAAAGGCTGAGGAAGAACACTTCAGCACCAGTTCTGTAAATGAACTTGGGAAGGGAGGTCAGACTTGACTGGATCTCACACATCCCAACAGGAGATAACCAGGAAACAAAAGAAAATCAAGAATTCTGAGTAATGCTGAGAAACTCCCCTGGAGAGGAACAGAGGTAAAGAGCCTTTAAAGGGGCCAGAGGTGGGTTTGGGACTGGCTCTTCCATGGCACAGCCCCAAGGGCACAGGGAGAAGGAACGTGTCCTTTGAGATCTGCCAGGCCCTGGGATTCACACCTCCAAATAATCCAGCACTTGGCCCTCAGCAAGTGCCATACACAGAAAACATGGAAGAATGCTAATTTTGGATCGTGGATAAGGCAGAATAAACCTAAGCCAAGGTGGCTGCAGGAACACACAAGTGAAAATAGCATGGAGAGCTGTCACAGTGCTGAGCTCTGCTGCTGCATCTCCAGCAGAATCTGTGTGAATAAATATTTCCATTGCAAACCCTGCTCCAGGAGTGAGGCTGGCTGAGGTTTGAGCCATCCATCACTGAGGATTTCAAGGTACAAACAACACAGGGGAACAAACAGAATTTGTAGAGACAGAGGATGAGGGGGAACAGGGTCAGCTCAAGCCTGGTTTTGAAGCTTTGGTATTTCTGCAGCTGTTGAAGCAGCTTTTCTTTGTTGTCACTGCTGTAGCTGTGCAGAGGTGTGAGACTGCAAGTACAGGGGAAGCATTTCAGCAGCTCTGTCATTAATTTGGGAAGGCAGAAGGAAGTTAAGCACATCATGTTCACAGCATGTGAAACAAAGCAAAGGCTGCTGGGCCCCTCCATTCAATTCAGATTTATTACCATATAGATTGTTCCACAACTTAATCAGGGATCCCACTGGCACAGCTGATGAACAGGTCATGGTGGTTAAGGATTCTCCTTGGGAAGTGACTTTGGGTGCAGATGAGCTCCATGTGCCTGATAAAACACATCTGGGTAGAGCAGCAGCCTGGCCGTGCCCAGGAGCTGGGATTAGAGCTGGGACTCCCCTGCCAGGTGTTCCAGCACACCCACAATGGGCTGCAGCAGAAATGTTTACCTGGGAGGAGCAGCAGGAAGAAGCAGCTAACAATCATTATATTAATTGAGCTTTTTGGCCCAGATGATTCCTAAGGAGTAAGCTCCTTTTTAATGATTCTTTGCAGCAGTTACTGACTCAGATTAAAAAAGCTAATTTTAGCCTCTGTGTTCCTGTTCAGTGCAAGCACAGCTGACCCTGGCACAAGGTCTGTATGTGCAGTCACAGTTTTTAGGAGGCCCTAAGGAATGTCAGTCCCATCAGCCTCACATCCCTGGAAGTGTTTTAGCAAGAAAGAAGTGAAATCCAGCAGCAGGGCCATTGCTGGTGACAGCTTGTGTGTATTTAGTTTTGTTTCCAGGTCCAGAATGCACAGTACAAGCCAAGGATCAGTTTCCAGCTGGCAGATCCATGGCCTTTGGTGGCCCTAGGAGTGAGTGGAGTGCCAAAGGCCACCATCCCAGGCTGCAAAACTGCCTTGCTGATGGCCTTGGGACCTCTAAGTGAGCCAAAAAGAGAGGTTCTTTGCATTGATTTTCAGTTTTGGAAGACTAAAGCAGAACTCCAACTCCTGTGCTACAGTTTATCAATAATAATAATAATAATAATAGAAGTAATAATCATCTTCATAAAAAAATAATCTGGGCAGAAATGCCTCAAGTCTTAAGAAGATCCTGCACCTGGATAAAATGCTGACAACTGAAGGGAAGCTCAAGGTGGGCTGAGCTGCAGGAAAACACAGCACTGACTGTACTTAGAACACTGCTCAGGGGGAAAGCTGAATACTCATGACAGACAGCATTGTGTGCTGAGTCAGTGCAAGTACAGCAGCTGCCAATTTGCATCCTTGCAGAGCAGCCAGGATGGCTTTTCCCAACAGAGAGCACCACTGGCAGCACCTGACAGTGTTATTGCAACAGATCACTCCACCCCGAGTGACACAGACTCTCCTCCCTCCATTCAGGTGCAAAGACTGACCTGGAACAACCTCTGCTAAGGCACAGCCTTGCCCAGACAGGCTGATTGCACTTAACCCAGTTCTGCTGAGAACTGGCTTGAGAGCTGTGCAAACACACCCCAGGTTCCTCAAGTGGCCAGAGACAAAACCATGCTGGTGCTCTGCAGTTCTTAGTGTGTGACTGTGAAAAGGTAAAAAAATAGAAGCAAAGTATTTAACAAGGACACATGATTCTGCTTTTTTAATTTCACAGGCCAGAGCAAAGAAACTGTCGGTGACCTAGTCAAAAAAATCCCAACATCAAACCCTAAAAAGGCCACCTCACTTCAGTCTTACCTGGAAAATGCTGCTTTTGAGCTTCCAGAGGGAGCCTCCCTGATACATTAACCTTTCCTAATAGAGGGCAGGGAGACCGAAGAATTTGGCACAACCATTCTCAACCACCCAAAAACGAGTCTCCAGCACTCAAGAGCTTTTCTGTAACACACCATTAGCAGAGTATTTAGTGTACAGCAAACACAGGGAATGGTTTGGGGGTTCCCTGACAGGGAAACAGAGCTGTCCCCCAAACAGAAAACCTGATTATCTTCACTCCTTGTTTCCCAAAAACTAAGCACAGGCTGCTGATGTGGAACACCTTTAGTCACAGATGTCCAGAGTCACCTGTGCAGCCTGGAGTAGGCTCAGTCTGTGTCACATTTTGGTGGCTCCCTCTGGGGCTGGGCACACGGAGAGCTGATTGCACCAGGCAGTAATTCCATCCTCACCCCAAGGAAGCTTTGCAAAGTGCTGGGAGGAGATAACCCACAAGCCTTTTATTTTGAATTTACCAGAGGCAGGGCTGGGCACTGCTGTGCTCTCCCTGGGATCCAGGGGCAGGAAATTCTCCTGCTGCTGCACTTTGCAGCACTACCAGAAAAGATCCATTCTGAGCTACGAGCAGCAAACTCTGCCAGCCAGGGATTTTGGTCTTTGTGTCCCTCCCCCTTAAGAAAAAGCCAGTTTTCACATTAAATATTAAAACCTTTGCACCTGACCTGCACGTGAAGCGCTCGAGTCACTGCTGAGTGACTGGAATGTAGCTGACAGTTTATACCTGGAATTATTCTTTGGCTCTTTGACAGTTATACCCAGAAAACACACCACACCCTGCTTCTGTTCCTATACCACCACTGCTGCAAATGCCAATCCACGGCTCTCAGACACCGTGCAGTGCTGGAGAAGAAGGAGGCTCCTGGTTTGCTACTGAGGATACGCTTCGGAGTAGAGCAGTCCCTCGGCTGAGATGGCGTCCCCGAGCCCCACGGTCCGCACGGGGTCCTTGCACACCAGCACAGGGGTGAAGTGGAAGGAGATGCCTTCCCTGTGCCACTGCACCACGGGCTCGTCCGGATTGAGGGAGATTTTGGAAGGTGCCTCCGTGTGGGAGGTGACGAACTCCAGGGGAGCTTTGAGGAAGACCTTGGTGGTGTCGATGGTGTCGGTGGCACAGGCCTGGGTGCCCGCAGCCCTGGCCCCAGCTGCCACTGCTGCCGCCTGGTTGCCCCAGTGGCCGTCCACGGTGACCAGGATGTGGTAGGCCAGCGTGTGGAAGTGGATGCGGGTCAGGTCCGAGGCCCGTTCCGCCGTCTTGCCGTGCTCCTTCAGGATCCAGAAGAGGATGTCACTGACCACCCCCACATCAGGAATGCCGCTCCAGGAGGCCAGGGAGGCGTGGGGACCAGAGGCAGACTGGGTGAGGAACAGCAGCTCCTGCTCGTTCAGCCCGATGGAGTTCACCAGGGGAAAGACCTGCTAACAGAAACAGGGACAGCACGTTTGCCTTCACGAGCAGAGTCACACCTGGGACTCCCTGCAGTGCCCTGCTGCTGCCTCAGCAGAAGCAGCACCCAGCTTCCCAGTCACTCACTTCCACGAGCTGGCAAGAATTACTTAACCAAGAAAACAATTAATTTTCCAGACAGTAAAGAATAACACATCAGCTCCACATAAAACATAACACTGAGATCAGAGCTGTGTCAAGCCAAACAAGGAACCACCAGGAAAGAAATTCTGCAAAGAAATCAAGGGATACTTTATAAACTCAGCTCAAATTCATTCCTCAGTTCATCTTCCAATGTATAGTCCAAATGCTGAGTTTTGATTTCTATATCCATGCACTAGTGTGTGCACTGTGATATTGAAGTGAAAAGAGCACATCCCTTCATTTTCCTTACCTGATGCACAATGTTGCTCATAAAATCCTGATCAGTCATACTGGCCAGCTCCAGGTGTATGGGAATGTCAGTTGGGATATCAGAGATGGAGGCCACAGCCTACAGGGAAAAAGAAAAAAACAACCTTAGAAGACATATTTATTAAGAAGAAGAAAAAGGGTTGTGACTCAAGATACACATCCTTTAATCTCCCTGTGTGTGGATATAAACAATTCAATGGGATGTCTGACCTGTGTATGTACTGCTGAGAGGAAATAAAACCACTTCTAGTTTGCAGAATTACAGGGCAGGAAAACTATCTAGCCTTAATATGCTTCAGCTCAGAACCTTTCTAATGGATTAATTCCAAGAACCTCACAAATCTGAAGCAGCTGCAGAGGAGCTGATCCCAAGAACATGAAAAATGCCAAAGCCTTGCATCAGGATAAGCCCTCAGCTGTAAAACAGGTGGCACAACACAGGTGCTCTTTAAGGAATGCAGGTGTTGATTATAACCTGGATCATCTGTGTCCAGCACAGAAAAAACCTGGTTTAGCTGCTAGATAAGCCCAGTAAGCACATCAACACCCTCCAGCCAGGTAACCA